ACCAGAAGACATCTCTGGTCTCGATTCATAAATGAGGATTTTGGTTAAGAAGTTGATTGTGTCAAATTATGATTTTTAATCATAATCATTGATCAAGATTAATCAATCAATAATCATACTTCCAACATAGACATGTGACCGAAACACCTCACATGTTAACTTCATTAGGGAAATGTTTGTGACGATTCAAACAATGGAGGGTATGGAGGGTAGGGTGATGAGCCTTGAGACCAAAGTGGCCCCATTTGTGACCTCAACTACCCTATTTGTGTGACTGATTAGCCTGATACTTACAACTCTGGTTCAGAACTGAAAAAGCCTTTGGATGTGAAGTTAATTACCTTCAAGAAACAAGTAAAGAAGTCTAGTCGTCTTCTATTTAAGCACTTAGGATTGCCATGTCCTAGAGCGCTGAGAATGTATACCAAAAAATTTAGACCAAAGTAGGTTGAACTCATTTGGAACGTTAAAGGGAACCAGGTGTTTTGGTCAGATGGGACTAAAGGTGCTACACTGTTTCCTCTCTCACCCTGTAGGCTGGTGTATTAAAACATGAGATATATATGTCTAAGCCAGAATAAATGAAGCACATTTTGTGGAACATCAAGTCATGTCTCTGAACTATGTGAGTCACTTCAACTGTGGTCCCATTCTGAATAGTGACTGTGCATTGGGAACAAGAGTGTAGACTTCAGTGCTCTACTACATCCGAACAGGGTATGTTACTTTGGCTGCAGTAAAGAGCAGCATCTTGGGGTCATCAAGTCTTTATAGCAGCTATCAGGTGATATCTACATGCCAATCAGTTAAGTAGGAGGTATGGTAAAAAGAAATGTGCTTTCTGTCCCAGCAACACAAATGTAAACATGTGGAGTTTGTTAAATGCAACTGGATCTTTAACTGGAATATTAAAGTGTAGAGAGGCTCCAGGAGAGGTTGTGCAAGAAGACATGGTCAAAGATGCATCTCTGTTTGCTCCAGCTCTGTGATGTTTTGTTTTTCTAAAGAAATATTGTTTCCTAACATTAGATTTATTTCCCCCACAAAAAGACAGGTAGAACATTAAAATATTTTCTGTATGATTTTGCTGTCTTTACCATGCGGTTGGGGTCTCTTTGTCCCGTTAGACGCCAGGTTTTCCCAGCATTCCTCTGGTGGGAGTGGACCCTCCTCATCCTCGCTGTCAGAGGAGTGCGTGGAGGTGTAGGATCCACTCTGGTCATCCTCCAGGGACAGATCGCTGTCTGAGTCGCTGTCATGATCTTCTGTGTGGACGGATAGAGGGTTAGGTGAAGTCTGGGGACAAAACCTGTGTTGGTGAGGAGGATCAAAGACAATACCGTCCAGCTGCTGCTTCGTTTCATGGAAGAGTGACGCCTGGTTGTTTAGAGCGATGTGAGCCTGGCTGTTGTTCAGTCCATCCTCCCTGAAGAAAGAGAGAACTCACAGTTACTCTGCTCACCCAGCACCAGCACCATCACCATGTTCGTCTGATTCTGAAATGTCTTCCTCACCGTAGTGCAAACGGCACATAGCTCTGCTGGCTCTTTCCGCTCTGCATGGTGCCATTCAAAGATACGCTGGAGTCTCCAAAAGGGAGGTGGTACAACCTTCCATCCATGTAGTTTGTGTTGCATTTGTAGCTCTTGCATAGAGAACAAACGTTTTCAAATAAAAAAATAATACATAAAATAGCTAACAAGCATGTTAGTGTGTTTCTCTGACATCAATGAATCCAAATAAAATGTAAAGGTCTAACAAACCTATAGACAATTTTACACATAATCTGATTTCTGTTTAGGAAAATTATTTCAGCTTAATTGCAGGGCAACATAATGAGGTGATAGTTTAATATTCCTGCTATTTTACCACTTATTCTCATTCAGAACTAGTAGCTGATTACAACTCTTACTTGCTGATCATTTAAACAAAAACTTTGTGATCTTTTTTTAAACTCTGGATTATTTTACATAAAAAAACCCCTGCAAAGATGTGATCAATTATATAAAGATTATTGGTAAGGAAAGCCCTCATCTGTTCTAAAAAGAATATAGAGTATAGATAAAATATAGAAGCCGCAAAAACCAGAGAGTGGATGGATGGATGGATGGATGGATGGATGGATGGATGGATGGATGGATGGATGGACGGACGGACAGACGGATGGATGGATGGAAGGAATAAAGAATAAAGTCTGGAATTTCAAATATTTTCCCATTTTTGTCCAGAGCTGGAAAATCCTAAAACAGTATCCTAGCCTGTCCCAATCTGTGTAGGAATCCTGTTTGTTAAAACTGGTCAAAATCCTGACCAGTTTTAACAAAAACAAAAAATATTATAGTGACTGATAAAGAAGGTGAACATAGAGCTAAATTTAATAAAAGTTCAGATCTCATTCTATTAATGATGAACTAACATCATATTTCAGTGATAATAACAGATTAAAAGTAATCCTCTGAGAGCCATTCTTCCTCTGTGTTTGTGGTGGGAACTCACAGAAGCCTTAGACTTGGTCATGTGATCCGGGCGCTTTCTGCTGCAGCAGTATTTCATGGCCTTCCTCGCTTCCTTATTGAAGACGATGCGGAAAAAGAAAACAAACGGACCCTGACATTGCCAAAAAAAAAAAAATGTAAAGGAAGAAGGTCAACACATGGCCACAGAAATTTACCCTTTAGCTGTTAGAGATCAAGGCTGAAGTCTCACCTGCACACAGCTGAAGCCTGCAAACAGGTAGTGGAAGATGATCATGTCGCTGTTGACGGAGAGAAGTGCCAGGAAACATGTGATGGAAACCAGGAAAAGGACACCGCCGGTAGTTTTCAGGCCCGAGCTGTAGGATGGAAACCACACGAAGGGAGAAGTTATTAAGGATTTCTAAATGTCCACGGATCTGATGATGAGTTTCCTCTGGTCTGTCATTGATCATCTGTTAGAGCTGTTTAATGATTTCCAGCCTGTGTGGACCGAAGAACTGGGACACTCACACCCGGGGCTCTTTCTTCTCAATGCTGTGGTGTCTCAGTGAGCAAGAGGCTCTGGACGACAGGATGTAGAGGAAGATGTTCATCTGTAGATAAAAGGCCAGATGGGTGACTTGTCACATCTATGCAGCTAAACAGCACATTTAACCAAATTAAAAATGGACAAACTCTGCTAAGATGGCATCTTTATGTGTGTCTTTTTATTTTACAGTAATTTTATTCAAAGCCTATTCTGTGTGCTCCTGAGTCTAAGCTATCTGGATGAGCTGCGACTCACCGACACCACCAGGGCGATGGGTCCAGCGAAGCTCCAGATCAACGTGTCGTACATGGACAGCCAGCAGAAGTCGGGGTTGCCGTAACCTTCAGGGTCCAATCCCACTGCCAAACCTGGAAACAATCCCACGAAGCACAGGCATGAAAACTAAACTCTTATCTGTGGGACACTTTTTGCCACTTTGCGGCACTTTCTTAATTTTAATGCTGACTTTTAAAATCTTAAAACATAATAGCATAAATTAAACCGTATTCATGGTGTTTGTACTGTTGGGTGCATAATATCAGCAAATTTGGCTGTTAATGTAAGAGTTGTGAATATACAAGAACTAACCTGGTTCATTTGAAATTTAAGATGTTGCATTCATTCAGAGCATGCACAACATGTACTGTAGAAATATTTGCTAAACGGATTTATTTATTCATTTCAAATTTGTTTGATCAGGGAAAAGACTTAAAACAATGTTACATTTAAAAGAAACCATTGTTCTGTCTATAGGCCCTCTAGCCAATGGCTAATTTGCACACCCAGTCTCTGGTAAGTTAACCTTTAAAACCAACATTCAATGTCTTTTAAATTAGGCGCAAGTTAAATTTTTTGGGGACTTTTCTTTAGTACGCAGTCACCTCGATCACATGCTTCTTTTTCTCGCATAATGTAGGCTGGATGTATGACTGCTCCTCTTGGCAGAAATGGTAGAGTTTCGTTCGTTTTTTTGGATCATTGCCCTGTTGAAACATGCAATTCTATCCCATTTCAACAATCTTACCTACATGTCACCCTCAAAAGAAGGGAATCTTGGGGCGCGGTGCTGATGGTGTAGGGGTTAAGCGCGCGACCATGTGGAGAGGCTACAGTCCTCGAAGCGGCTGTCCTGGGTTCGAGCCCCGGCGACATTTGCCGAATGTCTCCCCCTTCTCTACCCCTCTTTCCTGTCTGCCTACTGTCAAAAAATAAATAAATAAAGGCCACTAGTGGCGAAAAAATATCTTTACAAAAAATAAGAAGGGAATCTTGTTAGGATGTTCAGGAAGAATCAAGGGTTAGGCCGGCAATGAACTAGAAAATGTTGGAACACTGTGTCACTGTCCACCATCACCAGAGTTTAACACCAACATGGACTTAGAGGGTCGGGATCCACACAAGGGTCCCTGCTTCAAAATGGACACCTGTAAACCTTACTGAAATATGCAGCTACCAACATGGATGACCTGAACGCCTTCTGGAGAACCGTTTTACAGGTCCTTCTCAAAATATTAGCATATTGTGATAAAGTTCATTATTTTCCATAATGTCATGATGAAAATTTAACATTCATATATTTTAGATTCATTGCACACTAACTGAAATATTTCAGGT